AACTTCTAACAGCAGAAAAATGTAAGAATGAATCAGGCCATTAATTCTTATCTTCCAGGGAGAGGGTCTGATAGATGGAAAGGGAATGCCTGAGAGAAGGCTATCAGTATGCCAAGTGTGTGCATCTGAAAAATGGCAAAACAGGAAGCACAATGTGAAAACACTATCCTGTAATAAATATCCACCATTCAACATCTGATCAGAAGCTTGTATTGCCCTTTTATAGTGCTAGGAAGACCTCCATATTGATTTACTTGCTTACATCAGTATGTTGGAGACACAGTCAGAAAGGAAAGCAGCTCTGCAAAGATCATGCTATCGAAAATGTAGTACAAGACATTGCTGACCTGGGATCTGGGGGTTTCAGTGGTAAGAGAGCTTCCAGACCAGGAATCTCAAGGCCAGGGCTCAGATGAAGCCCCCCACTCACCTGGATTTGGCCCCTGAGACTCAGAGCTCCACACTCCTTCCCCCACCCCTGCATCCCAGCACTGAAGAGTCCTTGCTGGCGCTCCAGCTCCCCTATGGGAGCCCCCCCCTCAGGCTTTGGTGTGCAAAGGTAATATGGGGAGTATTTTAGTGTCTTTCCCCTTCTCATTTTTTAACTTGTTTAAAATTATTTTACTCTTTTTTTTCATTACATGTCATACTGTGATATGAACTTTCAAAGTCTCCATACACACACTGTGACAGAGTCAGATCAGAAAGATACAAGAGGGTACAGAAGAGAGGTATATTATCCTCAGAATGAGTAAATGTCTGTTCCCAGGATAAACTGGCAGGAGCTAGTCCAGAACCAGTGACAACTTGCCAGAATCAATCAGGGCAATTAAGCACCTGGAGTTTATTAAGTGGACTTACAAAGTCATGTGAGCCAAAGCTACTTAGAATGCCTATGGTCAGTTAAGAACCAGTTGAGACTTGTTATAAAAAGAGCTTCTCTGCACTTGCGTATGAGGAGCTCAGAGGACAGATGGAGCACTGCAGAGTCTAGGAGGAGCACCAGCAGGTACTAGGAGAGAGAGCATGAGAGAAGGAAGGTGCTAGGGAAGGTGTGGGGAAGTAGTCCAGCCCTTTTGCAGCTGTCTTGCAGCTGATATTGGAGACCTGTATAGGCAGCTGTTATTACAGGGCCCTGGGTTAGAACCCAGAATAGAGGGTGGCTCCAGGTCTCTCTCCTACCTCCCCCACCCACCCACACACTTTTTCCCATTTCCACTTGGGGAAAAAAACTGGATGGAGAAAAGAATGGGGCCTAGACATCCCAGTACTAATTGGAGAGGTCCTCCAAGACTGAGGAGTTTGGATTTCAGCATATAAAGTATAGAGGGAACAATCATGAGTAGCAGCTCAACAAACAGCAAGCTGATGCCCTAGATGAGGTGCCTAAATGGAGGGCTGCTGTGAGCTGCTGAGGCAAGTAATCCCCTTTAAAGTGCAGGATCCACCAAGTTTGAGTAGGAGCTTTGTCACAACACTTAGAAACGACAGTGCTTTATACTAAACAGGGCTGGGTTGGTTTTTAAATCTTTCAACCACTTAAACTGATTTCCAGTGGTTGGAAATAAATTATTCTGAAAATGAGGGACTGCTATCAGCAGTGAGAGTCACGAAAGAAAGTTCTTGTGCAGGATTCCCTCAGATCTCTGCCTACATACCTCTTCTGCCATTCCATCACAGGCCTCTTGTGTCAGTGGAATAAAAGCATTGCCACTAGGATTTATATGAGATCCAAACTTATTTTCTAAATGAAGACATGAAGCCAGCCACTTACAAGTTCACAAAATACTAAAAATGGAAGGGACCTCGAGAGATCAACCCCTCACAGCAGGACCAAGCACCATCTAAATCATTCCTGATAGATGTCTATTCAACCTGCTCTTAAATATCTCCAGTGATGGAGATTCCACAACCTCCCTAGGCAATTTATTCCAGTGTTTAATCAGCATAACAGTTGGGACATTTTCCTAATGTCCAACCTAAACCTCCCTTGCTGAAATGTAAGCCCACTGCTCTTTGTCCTATCATCAGAAGCCAAGAACAATTTTTCTCCCTCATCCTTGTAACATCCTTTTAGATACTTAAAAACTATCATATCCCTTCTTGGTCTTCTCTTTTCCAGACTAGGAAAACCCAATTCTTTCAGCCTTCCCTCCTTGGTCATGTCGGCTGCATCTACACTGGCAGGATTTTGCGCAAATACTTTTAAAGGAAATGTTTTTCTGTTAAAAGTATTTGCGCAAGGGAGTCCTTCTTGAACAGTGGTGCCCAGAATGGGACACAATACTCCAACTGAAGGTAAGGTGGTGGAGTGGGTTCTGGCATGGCCTAGCGGATAGGGCATGCACCTGGGGTGGGGTGGGGGATGGGCTCAAGCCCCCACCCTAGCCCAAAGAGTGCAGAGTAGAGAGGAAGAATGACTCCTTATGTCTTGCATCCCAGAATCATGTTTGTATTTTTTACAATGTCACACTGCTGACTTATATTTAGCTTGTGGTCCACTATGACCCCTAGAGCTCTTTCTGCAGAATTCCTTCCTAGACAGTCACTTCCCATTCTGTGAGAGAGAAACTGATTGTTCCTTTCTAAGTGGAGTACTTTGCATTTGTCCTTATTAAACTTCACCCTGTTTACCTCTGACCATTTCTCTAGTTTATCCAGATAATTTTGAATTATGACCCTATCCTGCAAAGCACTTGTAACCCCTCCCAGCTTGGTACCATCTGCAAACCTAAATAATACTACTCTTTATGCCATCATCTAATTGTTGAAGATACTGAACAGAACCAGACCCAAAAGAGACCCCTGTAGATCCCCACTTGTTATGCCCTTTCTGCATGACAATGAACCATTAATAACTAATCTCTGAAAACAGTTATCCAGCCAGTTATGCACCCACCTTATATAGACCCATGTAGGTTGTATTTCTCTAGTTTATTGATTAGAAGGTCATGCAAGACCATATCAAATGCTTTACTGAAGTCTAGGTATACTACATCCAACACCTCTCCCTTATCCACAAGGCTTGTTATCCTATCAAAGAAAGCTATCAGATTGGTTTGACATGATTTGTTCTTTTCAAATCCATGGTGGCTGTTACCTAGCACCTTATTTTCCAGATGTTTGCAGATCAATTCCTTAATTACTTGCTCTATTATCTTCCCTGGCACAGAAGTTAAACTGACTGTAGTTTCCTAGGTTGTTCTTATTTCCTTTTTTATAGACAGGCACTATATTTGCTCTTTTCCAGTCTTCTGGTATCTGTCCCAACTTCCATGACTTTTCAAAGATGATAGAGAGGGTATCTGAGCCTTAAGCTATCAGCTACTTGAGTGTTCTAGGATGCATTTCATCCGGCCGTGGTGATTTGAAAACATCTAACTTTTCTAAGTAATTTTTAACTTTTTTTTATTTTAACTTCTAACCTACGCCGTTTCCACTAGCATTCACTATGTATGGCATCCCGTCATCATCAAACTTCATGGAGAAAACCAAAACAAAGTAGTCATTAAGCACCTCTGCCATTTCCAAGTTTCCTATTATTGTTTCTTCCTCTTCACTAGGCAATGGGCCTACCCTGTCCTTGGTCTTCCTCTTGCTTCTAATATGTGTGCAGAATGTCTTCTTGTTACCCTTTATATCTCTAGATAGATTAAGCTCATTTTTTGCCTTTGCCTTGCTAATCTTGCCCCTACATACTTGTGTTGTTTGCTTATATTCATCCTTGGTAATTTGTCCTAGTTTCCACTTTTTATATGACTCCTTTTTTATTTTTAGATCATGTAAGAGCTCCTGGTTATGCCAAGGTGATCTCTTACCATACTTTCTATCTTTCCTATGCAGTGGAACAGTTTACTTTTGGTCCCTTAATAAAGTCCCTTTGAAAAACTGCTGATTCTCTTCAATTGTTTTTCCTCTTAGTCTTGCTTTCCATGGGATCTTACCTACCAGCTCTCTGAGTTTACTAAAATCTGCGTTCCTGAAATCCAGTGTCTATTTTGCTGTTCTCCCTTCTACCATTCTTTAGAATCATGAACTCTACGATTCCATAATCACTTTCATTCAAGCTGCCTTCTACTTTCAAATTTTCAACCAGTTCCTTCCTATTTATTAAAATCAATCTAGAACAGCTTCCCTCATAGTAGCTTTCTCAACCTTCTGAAATAAAAAATTGCCTCCAATGCAGTCCAAGAACTTACTGGATAATCTCTGCCCTGCTGTGTTAGTTTCCCAATAGATGTCTGGATAGTTCAAGTCCCCCATTATCACCAAATGCTGTGCTTTGGATGATTTGTTAGTTGTTTAAAAAAATGCTTCATATACCTCTTCTGCTTGGGTAGGTGGTTTGTAGTAGACCCCTAGCATGACATCACCCTTGTTTTTTATCCCTTTTAGCCTAACCCAGAGACTCTCAACATGTCTGTCTCCTATGTCCATCTCTCCACGTCAGTCCAAATGTATACATTTTTAATACATAAGGCAACTTCTCCCCCCTTTTTTCCCTGCCTATCCTACCTGAACATCTATAACTCGAAAGTGTTCGTAACTCAGATCCTATAGAGTTACATGGCGACCGCGCTGTTCGTAAGTGCGGATTGCCATTCGTAACTCGGATCTGCATTTACGACCAATTTGGTCGTAAGTGGAGGTGGTCGTAACTCAGGAAGCAGCTGTATTCCAATCATGAGTATTATCCCACCAAGTCTCTGTGATACCAACTGTCATAGTTGTGTTTATTACCACTTCAAGTTCATTTTTTGCAGACACTGAGAAACTTAATATCAACAGTAAGTAAATGTAAATTATTAGTTAATGTGAACTTCTATTACTTTTAGCTGTGAATAACATTAAAAACTTGACAAATGTTTGTTTTCAACTCTAAATGTAAAACGAAGAACTTGAGAGCAAAATAATAAGCACTAAAAGCTACTCAGACTCACTGGTTTAAATAATGAATGGAAGTTCTAACAAGAATAATTTTTTAAAAAAATTTCTGAAACCTTTGGATCCTCGAAACTTCCCTCCAGGGAGATCCCACAAATAATGCTGGATGAGGTTGTACATGATAAGTGAGTGCTCCCCCTCAGATTCTTTCTGCAAGCAGGATTGTACTTGACATAATCTCTCAGTCACAGACAGGTCCTGATCCAAAGGAGGGGGTGCCAAGCTGGCACTGATTTCTGAGATAAAAGGACAAATTAGTTTATTTATTTGATTAGATGACTTACCTGGTGTTGCCTAGGTCTTTCAGGGCAGGGGGCTCACAATTTTGATTCCTATCATAGAGGTATGAACAAAGACATTGGCTGGATGACCTACTACATTCCACATCCTAATGATACAATAGGTACTTAAGAACAATTAGTACTTTCTCTATCAGTTTCATGTGGCATGGACACCCTAATTCACCATTTCTTCCCCCTACTCCCTCATGGACACCAGGGGCCATTTGTCTTCCCTAGTCCCCTTGCCAACCAAGGGCCTTCCCCTCCCCTCCTCTCTGGCACTGCAGCCAAGGGCCAGGAGGGGTGTAGGGTTTGGGGCAAGGGAGCCACTTATCTAAGTCTGGTAGCAGACAAGATGGGGAATCCCTAGACCTGCTGGCCATTCTTTTGGTGGTGTGGTGTGGCTGCCCCCCAGTGATCATTCTGTACATAGCTCTCCCATGCAGGCTTGCTGCCCCCAATGACCACTTTCAGTATCCTGTCTCTCCTCTCTGTCCCATCCCTTTCCATGTTATGGAAAAGAGTCTCATTCTCAGCACTTCCCATTTTCTTGGCACAACCAAACCCTGACCCTGATTTCATACAACACAGAACACTAAAACTAGAAGGGACATTGAGAGGTCATCAAGTTTAGTCCCCTGCCCTCACTGAAGGACTAAGCACCATCTAGACCATCCCTGATAGATGTCTATCTAACCTGCTCTTAAATATCTCCCTAGGCAATTTATTCCAGTGTTTAACCACTCTGGCAGTTAGGAAGTTTTTCCTCATGTCCATCCTAAACCTCCCTTGCTGCAGTTTAAACCTGCAATTCAATGCTTTCTTGATTTTTTAATGTAACCAACTAACTTCACTGCCTCCTTTAGAAATGGAGGAACAGAAAGTATAAAAACAGTGGCAAACAATTCTCTCTCAGCCCTGGGTGTTAATAATCAATATAGCTGATTATGTTTATCATGCAACTGAGCTGGGATAGGATTCTGATAGGGGACATACTGTTGGAAACCATATCCCAAAAGGGATGCCATCTCCTCACGGTTCTTCCCTGATACGTGTGGTGGTGTTCAGTTTGGTCTGTCTGGCAACGCTCACTTACCAGTCTGGCGATCTTGCTTCTCCTGCAATGAGATATAATAGGCGTCCTTTCCACCCCAGCACACAGACAACCCAACCACCAAGATGTCTTCACAGCCTTTGATAGGAAACCCATCATCTTTAACCTGGAACCGCTGGGGAGATCGTACTAAACAAATGTTTTAACAGTTATATTTCTAAAACAGCATCCAAATACAGTGTGTTCAATTGAAAATCTAATAAGGAAACACCCCAACAGAGTCTGGAATTCTCCAAACTGAACCAATGCTTTAATTCTCTTATAAGCATTAGACTCTCTCCATATCTCAATTCTTTTTTTAAATAGTGACTTTAGATAGCAAGGTGCCTGACACAGCCAAACTACCACTTAGGATTCCTTAAAGAGAGTTGGCTTTCTGCTTCATAGCATACCGAAGAATTGGAGTATAGGGTTACAGGTGGAACCTCTCTGGTCTGACATGATTTTAGTTAGCCGGATGTGTTCTGTGATGTTATTTAGTTCTAATTAATCCCTAAATGTCTTCTAAAAGCACAGTAAGCAGTGGAAGTGTTGGTAATGTTGCTAGACAATATTGACCTCCCGTGGTTTGGCAAATTCTCTGGTTTGGCACTGGTCAGGTCCTAAGGTCCCAACTAGAGAGGTTCAACCCGTACACTTCCCTAATCAGCACTGGGACACATCTCATTTTTAGATAAATGCATTGATTACATTTCTGCTGCTGAGAACAATTTTTTGGTTTGGTTCCTATATTCAGGCAAATTGTCCACAGTGTTTAACTTCCTGGTCTTTTGTGGTTTGGGAGGAGGGGTTGTAAGATAGGAATAGAGAGTAAAATTAACAAAACAGTACATGTTGTAATATTTGCGATCAGGCACTGAGAACTTCAGAGAAAATCTGCTGCTGATGGGTCCATCTCCTTCCCTGAAATACATAGAAGGAAGCTGCTGCTTGCTCATACTTCTTAAAAGTTGGGGGTAAGGGTGTGGCAAAAGGAGTTCTTCCTCTAAGAGAACTCTGCTTGAATTTGCCTCCCAAAGGCTCCTGAATGCCTGCCTTCCTTCCACTGCATCAGATCCTTAGGAGAATTGCAGTATATGAATACTAAAGATGAAAAAGTGCTGAAGCACAGCAATGATCTGAGGGACTGGGGAATAGATTGAGTTTCATATCTAAACAATTAAATCGATCCAAATTAACTTTTTTAAATTGTAAGGTACTTAACCTCTGATTAGCCTACAATGTCTAAGGAATACTGCCTGACTAGCAGCAGCCATTAATCAGTTGCTTATACAGGCAGTCCCCGGGTTACGTACAAGATAGGGACTGTAGGTTTGTTCTTAAGTTGAATTTGTATGTAAGTCGGAACTGGTACATATTGTAGGGGAAACTCTAGCCAAACATTTCTCCAGAGCTCAGCTTTATTCTCCCACACCTCACTTCCCTCAGGCCTTTATTCTCAAGCTGAGGTGTCTGCTGAGAAAAGCCGCTACGCTTCTCCCTGGTCTGCTGGGGGGAAGCAGCTACTGCAGGGTTGCCTCACCCCGTTTGTAAGTAGGGATCCGATGTAAGTCGGATCCATGTAACCCGGGGACTGCTTGTATTTGTTTCTGAACTTAACATTTTTTCTGAACTTGGTACCAAGATGAAGCCATTTATATATCTCCTGTTTCACCAGAAGGAGGCTATAGCACCATTCCATTTTAAAGTGAGTGGTGTGATCAGTTTTCAGATCGTATTTGTTCTGTGCGCTAACTGGTCTGAGTGTGTGTTCTTATAAATATGAAAAAGAGTCTGGAAATAAATATAGGAAGCAAGTACTTAATGACTGCTCTAGGGTGGTAACCGTGGCTGTCTTAAAAAATGCTGAGGCCAATCCACACTCCAGCCATCTTCCTTTTCCCAAATCCAACTTATAAATGATTCACCTAATACCATTCATTCTTCCCTCCTGATCCCAGCTCCATCCTTCTATAGTGTGTCTCAGTACTCAATTCATATGGAGTCTTTATCCTCTTATTTAGATCAATCCAAAGGAACACATTTATAACAATTTCCACTGAGCCTGCAAGTTAAACAGAGTACTGTTTATAATTTAGTGTAGTAGGAATGTGAAAGAGGAACTGACCTTGTTTAAATCTGCCACCTATAGTTGACATGGGGGACAAGAGGCATTTTGTTCTTTCACAAGCCAGTGAAATGGCAAATCTGCTTTTGTTCCTCCATTCTCTGATGAAGGTATGGAAGAGAGCTTTGTCACTTGCTACATCAATAATAGAGAAACTTTCAGCACTGCAGGAAACAAGTGGCAAAACATCTTGAGATAGTTGCAGTGAAAAGCTTTGGTCTATAACAGAATTGTCTTTTACAGTGTTAGTCTCAAGCAAAACCTCACATGTTTCTTCAGTCCCAGGATTAAATGGCAGTGTTTTTATCAGGTGATCTGAAGTAGATTTGCTATTTTTCAATGGTTGAAAAGATGGGACTTCATCTATGTGGCTAACATTTTTGTTTTTTCCAAACATTAGAGAGGATGTGCCAAAACTCTTTGGAACAGGTTCTTTAGGAGATGTTTGAGGTATAAATCCATTGCTGATATCTAGCTGGGGGTCAGATAATCTGTTGCTTCCCTTGAGCAGCAGATGGTTGTAAGCTGGTTTCTGAACATCCAGAACTCCCTTATTGCTCTCTTTAACTTTGAAATAATTCTTTAAACCCTGGCAAGTGGATGACGACTCTCTTGGACAACAGCTGAATTCAGAAATTGCTCCAGGCTCTTGTTTACTATTTGAGTTTACTAACTTTCCTATTGAGGAGAAGACTTTTGGACTTAAAACAACAGGTTTATTATCTGAAGGACTAGGCCACCTGTCTAAAATATCTTGCAACTCTGGGCTTAAGTTAAATGAATGATCAGACCATACCACTGGATTGGTATTCTTTCCCACAGCTTGTTGGGAATTCTGGGGTCTTTCACCTTGATCCAGTCTTGAGTCCTCTGGTCTGTGATCATTCTCCTCATGCCTTGTTTTTCTTAACCCTAGTTCAACAAGAACTGCAGATGGACTGTCTCCTTGATATGGAGGTAAGTCTACATTACCTAAAGCTTCAGCCATCTGGAAAGAATCTATATCAGAGAATATAACAGACTCATCATCACACGGTGCTGGATGCTGCTCACTGACGTTTATATCGACAGTTAATACATCCTGAATAGGCCCCAAGTTCTGCTGATGCAAAAGATCATCAAGAGAGCTAGAAGTGGCTTTAGAAGAAAGAGTCACAACTTTCTGTTTCCCAGATTCTGCCCCTTGAGCGTCATCTGCATGCATAGTTGGAGAGCCACTGACATTATTGAAGCTTTCATCAAAAAGTAAACTGCCACTGAAATTCAGACTAGTTTCAGGAGGCGGGTGGCACTCAACTTGTACAAGCACAGTGTGAGGGTGCTGGCCATTGCAGGGAGAGACTGCCTTCTGAAGATCTTTAGAGACATTTTCCTTAACTGAATTTTGGGTCTGATAACCTTGTAAAAAGCTATATAGTTGTGAGTCAGTGAAAGAACAATCATTTCCTTTAAGACAAAATGCAGATTCTGTGCATTTCATTGAAGACTGTACATTAGTGCTTCTAGAGCCCAAAGCATTAGTGCAATGTAAATCTGTTGTTTCTTTCATAGTATTTGCTGTCCCCAGACTTGAACAGACCACTTTTCTAAGTGCTGCAGCTAGCTTTTCATCTGCAACATCTTCATTTTGTAAAGTGCTGGCACAGTGTAGTTTCATGGAAATGTTCTGCACAGGTATCTTTGTCCGCTCTGTCTCTTTTTCTCCCCACTGTTTTGCAATTTCAGCTGCCATCAGCTGCTGTAATATCCTATCAGTCTGTGTATCCAACTGGAAGCTGTCTTCAAATTCTTTGGAAACTGAATACAGATCAGGAGAATAGCCATTTTTAACATCTTTTGGAACACAAAGAGCTCCAGATTTTACCGTAGAATCTTTCAAAAAATCCTCTTGCTTGTTATCTGCTTTACCTCCAGTTTGTAACATTCCACTGGGCTTTTCAAAACTTGTTTTGCCATCATTTTGAATTTGAAAATGGAAAGATGTATTCTCTTCAGGATAAAAATAAACTGTTTTCTGTTTGCTAATACCGATGCTCCCATACATGTTTGCAGAACTGCTGTCTGCCTCATTACAAAGATATGTGCCTAGAATCATTTGTTGTTTGGAATACATCTTTTCAGCACAGTTTTTAACTGATTGGATGTTGTTCTGTTTTAAATCACTGTTTTCATTTTTTGCTGACCTGCTAGAAATTCCCAGGTTTCCCATATTATCATCTATCACCACATTCATGGGTGGAGCATCCCTCATTTCAGTATGCCTAGCTTCCAGACCAAGCACTGTTTCTTTAGGACTGGCTTTATTAGAGATGGAAGGTTCTGTAAGTAATTCCTTCATTATCTCTTTGCTTTCTGGTTGCACTTTATTCACCTGTAAAGATTCTGAACCTTTGACAGTGAAACTCTTGTGAGAAGATGATTTGTTCTCTCCAAATCTTTTTTTCCTTTGGTGTGAAAAAGATTTATCTTTAGACTTGCTATGGCTAGATACAGAGGGCCCATTTAACTCTGTTGTGTGCATCACTGACTTATCAAGTCGGAAATGTTTTGGATCAATGCTTTTGCCCTCAATTTGGCTGAAACTAGTGTCCATAGTCATCCTGCACCCAGATGTTTTAGAAGTTTTCTGTGAAGTGCAGTTCAAGGTTGGTCTTTTTCCTTTTTGAGTAGGGAATTCTTGAATAGTTGCTGCACTGCTTTTGGTCAGAAAAGTAACTTCCTTGTTTTCTTTACCTTTTCTCAAATTTGGCCGCTTTCTAGCATTGCATGTGATGGAATCACCATTGCTTTCCTTTTTCTGGGTGTGATCTTCCTGCAGTTCGCTATGGGACCTGGAGTCTGATACACTAGCATTTAACAACCTTTTATGTCCCTTTTTAATATTTGATGACTTCCCAGCTTGAAAATTGGTGCCGTTATCAGTTAGAATTCTGTACCTTTCATTGCTGAATACTTTCAAAGTCCCGAGTGAACGTTCCCCATTCTGTTTATATTTTCTGTCCTCCAGCTCTGATTCACTGCTGGTCATGGAAGATGTATCAGACTCAAGAAAAGAATCTGGATTCCACTGCACTCCCATCCTAGCCAAGTCCTGCTGTAGGAGTATTCTAGCCTCCTCCACAATAAGGGATGCTGCTTCACCTTCGGTTAGGCCCTTCATTCCCGCCATCCAGATACAGTGGGTATTCCGACATCCAGTGGGTATCCCAACGTCCTTCGCCTGCCTCTTCATCTTCATCCACTGCCCTACGAATGCTAATAGAAAGAAAACAACTTAAAATTAGTTGGAAAGTTGTTTAGAAACAAATAATGAGCAGTCAAAGCAACCAGTATCATACTATTGTACTTTTATCTTCAACTAGAATACTAGTTTCAATGAAATATGTTTCTGGACCACACAGGCTGCACCTACTAGGAAATGAATATCTGTTTGTTTTTAAAAGGTGAATGTAGTGCTAGTCGAGGTAGAAAAGAGTGATCATGCTAAGGCTGCAGTGCAGTGTCCCCATGCAGGCTTCCTTTCAGTCTTCCCTTGCTCTGATGAAAACAAGGAGCAACTCATGTAATAGTAATTAATTTTGGACTCAAAGTCAATCTCACTCCTGAGCTGTTGTTTTACTATGTCAGCTCACAATCAATCCAGTCTTGAAAGACTACCAGGTGGGGCATGCCCATTAATTTCAATGAGCACTGTGCACAAAGGAACCCACAGGAAGCAATTAGGATTTCCTCATATGGACAGCAGCTTACAAGGAAATGGAATCAAAGCCACCAAAAGCAATCACCAATATCACTTTCCTTTGATGTAGTCCATACAAAGTTTAGAAAAACTGCAGGTAAATCATATTCATAGCATAATGGAACACCTAACAACTACATCAGTTTTGAGTGTCAGAACAGGGTCCCTGTAGGAATTTAAGCAGCTCACCTATGTAGACATGATTATTCCTTAGGCCATTCTGTGACAAAAAAATTAAAAATTCTACCCCAAACGATTAAAAATTGTGCGCACAATATTTAAAATTCTGCACATTTATTAAATAAATGTTGAGGATCCAGCATGGCAATGGGGAGCACAGGCTGCACAGAGGTGGGAGATCACTCTGCAGCCTCCCCATGCCTCCAAGACAGGGACTCAGATGTGAGGCTGCACCCAACCCTGACAACACAAGCAGCAGGCCTGTCCCAGAAACAGTCCTAGGTCCTGCCTGTCCATGTCAGGTGCACTAGGTATGGACAAGCAGGCTCAGCAAGGCAGGATCCAAATTTCGAGGGGCTAAGTGTGGGGAGATCCAGGTGTGGATTGAAAAGGTTCCATGTGGGGTCATCCGGGTGCAGGTGGCTCAGTGGGGGATTCAGGTGGGGTCATCCGGGTGTGGATTCCATGTGGGGTCATCCAGGTGCAGGTGGCTCAGTGGGGGATTCAGGTACAAGGGAGATCTGGATACACAGGGCCTTGTTGGGGGTTTTTGGGTGCAACAATAGTGGGACTGTGCAGAGGGGTCCAGCTGA